GAAGAGATTAAAAAGACTGTCCTCAGGGCTGACAGTAAAAATTTTTTCTTTAAATTTTCCCAGATGTCTAAAAATAATTTTCCAAGTTGATGTAGAGAAATAGGAGGTAAGTAAATTAAAGGAAGAAAAGACAGAGAAGAATAAATATTTATGTTCCGTTGTGAAATGAGTATATGTGTACTTTACATTTCATTAGATGGCTAAAAATGAATAAGCTATTTCCAATATGAGTGGAAAAAACCCACACATTTCTTATTATTAAATCAAAGGATTTTTTGCTCTTTTCTGTATGCTGTGCACAGATCTTTTGTATTCCTAAACAAAGCCTTAATTTACTACCTTTTCCCTCTTAAATTTGATAAGTGCATTGTATTGTGTTGTTTCAGTAAACCGTTACTGAAGGAACTCAAAGCCAGAAGAAAACTGGTATTTACTGGTTTTTGAGGTGGAAGGCATTATAACTCATCGTTATAGCAATGTTTACAGGAAATTAGAGAAACTTAACTTTTCAATTAGCAAAATCCAATCTGATAAGGCTATAGGCCTTCCTAAATGTTAGGGGATAAGATGTAAACAAAAGCAGAGAAAGCACTTAAAAGATAATATAAGTATACAAACAAGTTGGTATTATTTGTCCAGGAGCAGATTTAGGCTGGAAATTGGCAGAAGGTTTCTACGCATCAAAGATCTGCAGTCCCAGAAGAGCAAGAAATACAACTTCTGAAAGAGGGAGCTTGGTACATATAATGCCTCAAATGAAGATGTGGTTGCATGAGGCAGCAACAGACTAGGCAAACAGAACTAGGTGTCCAGAATTCCCATTACTACTGGTACTTAAATACACAAGGAAAATGGAAGGGATATAAATATCATACCAAGAAAATACACAGATAATAGGAAAAAAGGTCAAGTCTCAAGTACTAGTGAGGAGGAGACCAATAGTTCAAAGCTAAACGAGTTCAGACAGGAAAATGAAAAAAGTCTGAGACTGGCAACATGAGGCTAGTTCTGGACAGTAGATTAGGCATATGCTGTGAGCAGGTTAAATTGAAAAATACACATTAGAGGATACAAACACCAACTAAGGAGGAAAGGTATACCTCTTACTTGAGGTATGGCTGAGGTAGTAATTGAGATTTTAAAAATAGTACAAGGAAATAGAATCTCAGGAAAAAGATTTCTGGATTTAATATAAATGATTCAGCTGTGGAACAGTTTAAAGTCAGTGTTCCAACCTTTGCCACACTGTGATCCCTAGAAAACGTCTCCCGTCCACCTGTATTTAGCCTGGCTCAGTTCTTTTTGAAGCAGAAAAGGAAGTTTACGCAAGTAAAAGATAAGTTTTGCTGCCTGTCAGACAGTGCCTTGAAGGTCCTGGAACTTAAACAGGACTACAAACTTCCCAAAATAATGCTACAAATCTATTCTGGCTGAAGCAACACAGGACCAGGCAGGAGCAGAAATGTCCTCTTGTCCATGAAGCCAATAGGTTGCCTGCTTCTTACACGGATAATAAGGAATCTCACCTTTACACCAACGTAAGACCAGTAGGCATTTTAAAAAGAGGTATCAGTACATCACTGTGCATTTATTCCTGAAATGGGATAAAAGTAGGCTATTGTATTTTTCCCATTTGCTGACACAGATTTTTCTAAGCTGAATATCAAACCAAGATAAGACTAAAATTTAAAATTGTAATTTTAAGCTTTTGTTTCCTCATGATGTACTGGTTTTGGATGGGATAGAGTTAACTTTCTTCATACGAGTTCATGGGGTGCCGTGTTTTAGATTTGTGACCACAGCAGCCTTTTTTTGTTGCCCAACCTGGGGCTTGAAGTTTTCCAGATAGCAACAGATATGACTGGATACACAACAAATATCACACCTAGTTTTGGGTGAACTACGTCATTGTTTCTAAATCTAAGCACAAAAAGCCCAAATAGCAGGAATGCAATAGCGCTGAAGTCCCAAACAGCTGTAGGGTGAAGCACATCAACCAAGAGGCCCGTTCTGGGCTAGGCTGAGGGCAGTGCCGTGATTCTGCCTGCAGAGCACTTACTTTGGCAAGTGGTAGATGCAATGTCTGGGTAGAGGCAACTCCTGAAGGACCTGGCATTGCAGGCTGGCAGACAAAAACTGAACCAGAGGAGGGAATGACCTGCAGAAGGCATACTGACAGCATGTGATGTTTCCAGTTCTACACCTTTGCAGATTTTGCGTGCTAACTTTTACATATTGTGCAAGTTAACACGCAGCCTTCTTTATGTCATAAAGGATGAGGAAAAGGCTGAGGTGCTCAACGCCTACTTCGCGTTGGTCTTTAGCAGTGGAACTGGCTGTTCCCTGCACACCCAGCCTCATGAGTTAGGAGACAGGGAGGGGAAGCAGAATGAGAGCATCACTATCAAAGAGGAAGAGATCAGTGACCTGCTATGGTGCTTGGATGCACACAAGTCTATGGGACCGGATGGGCTATACCTAAGAATGCTGAAAGAGTTGGCAGATGTGCTTGTCAAACCACTTTCCATCATTTACAGGAAGTCATGGCTGACTGGGGAGGTCCCAATGGACTGGAGGGTGGCAAATTTAACACTCATCTACAAGAAAGGCAAAAAGGAGGATCCAGGAAACTATAGACCTGTCAGTCTGACCTCAATACCAGGGAAAGTCATGGAGCAGGTCATCTTGAATGCCATCAAAATCCACATAATGGGCAACCAGGGGATCAGGCCTAGTCAGCATGGGTTTATGGAAGGCAGGTCCTGCCAGACAAACCTGATCTCCTTCTATGACAAGCTAACCAGATTATTGGATGAGGGAAAGGCTGTTGATATTGTATACCTGGATTTTCGAAAAGCATTTGACACTGTCCCCCATACAAATCTGGTGGAAAAACTGGCTTCACACGGCCTGGACAAGCATACAATCTGCTGGATCAAACACTGACTGACTGGAAGGTCCCAAAGAGTGGTGCTCAATGGATTCAAATCCAGCTGGCGGCCGGCCACAACTGGTGTGCCTCAGGGCTCAGTGTTAGGACCATTTCTGTGTAATGTCTTTATTGACGACCTTGACAAGGACATAGGGTGTATCATCAGCAAGTTCGCAGATGACACCAAGTTAAGCAGGGGTGTTGATTCCCAGGAGGATAGGGAAGCCCTACAGAGGGACCTAGAGAGATTGGATCACTGGGCCAATATCAATGGCATGAGTTTCAACAAGGGCAAGTGCCAGGTCCTGCACTTGGGCCACAATAACCCCATGCAGCGCTACAGGCTGGGGGAAGTATGGCTGGAGCTGCCTGGAGGAACGAGACCTGGGGGTTCTAATTGACAAGCGGCTGAATATGAGCCGGCAGTGTGCCCAGGTGGCCAAGAAAGCCAATGGCATCCCGGCTTGTATTAGAAATACTGTGACCAGCAGAAGTAGGGAGGTGATTGTCTCCCTGTACTCAGCACTGGTGAGGCCACACCTCGAGTATTGTGTCCAGTTTTGGGCACCTCAATACAAGAGAGATATCGAGGTGCTGGAGCGAGTGCAGAGGAGGGCAACGAAGCTGGTGAAGGGCCTGGAAGACAAATCATATGAAGAGCAGCTGAAGGAGCTGGGACTGTTTAGTTTGAGGAAGAGGAGGCTGAGGGGAGACCTCATCACTCTCTACAACTACTTGAAAGGACACTGTAGAGAGGTTGGTGCTGGTCTCTTCTCACAGGTAATTAATGACAGAACAAGAGGGAACGGCTTCAAGCTCCAACAGGGTAGGTTTAGATTGAACATTAGGAAGGAATTTTTCACAGAAAGAGTGGTCGGGCATTGGAACAGGCTGCCCAGGGAGGCGGTTGAGTCACCATCCCTGGCTGTGTCTAAGAGCCGTTTAGATGTGGCGTTGGGGGATATGGTGTAGGGGAGAACTTTAGAGTAGGGTAGATGGTTGGACTCGATGATCCCAAGGGTCTTTTCCAACCTGAATGATTCTATGTGTTTACTGTCTACTTCTATATGCTTTTATTTTGCTTCTGCCCTGAAAACTTTACACTTTGGACTATACATAGATAACCAACTTTTTAGACAGGTTTTTTTTTCTGACTTGACATATCTGTGAAAACAAGACACTTAATACACAGGAATGGTGGTTATAAAGAATTTGGTTTTGCTCTGAAAGCTGGAGCTGCACAACGTTTTAATAAAAAAGAGTTGCTGGAACTTGACATATTTGACGGGTACAGAAATTGTGCTTCTTGTTCAAGCCCTGCAAGAGTTGTGGTGCCTTTATCCTACAGCATTTTCAACTACAAAGTTAAATCCCCATTCGGGATTTAGAAAGCAAGTACTGTTTTCCTCAGTATTTTCCTTAAATTGACTGTTTCTATTCACTCAAGCATTTACCAATATAAGTTGGCCCTTTTTTTTGGCAATACTTGGAAAATAAACAAATAAAAGAATGGTTCTAAATCATCTCTAAGTGATTTGTATATCATTTTGTTGTGGGAACTTTTAAACTTTGACTCCACATTGCCTGATTCCACTAAAATAAAATGTAGTAATATCATTAACATTTGTCCTTATTGGAACCATATGATGTTTCAGGGCTTAAAAAGTTTATTTTGTTTCTCTTTGAATTTTAGTGAAAGGTAATCCTCTGCATTCCTAACTAAACCAATTTATCCCTTAACACCTTTCAATTCATACACTTACCAGGCCTTGGTTTGTGGTCATTATCTATTGAAAGATAACTGGAGGACATTCCATTCACCCTTGATCACCAGTATTCCTTAAGTGGCCATAAAGGTTGGGAATTAAAGCATGTGTCTATTAGGATTAGCAACAGATATGATAAATAACAAGGGGTTTGAGAGAAGCTGCAAAATTGCTTAGAAGTACAGAAAGGCTTCAAAATGAGCAAAGACTAAAATATTAGTAGTCTTTTGTTCAGGAATAAGGGACACAAAAAAAGTTTCCAGAATAGCTAAAGGTAAAGGAATATGCACATTACTGTACACTTTAAAGCAGTGCACACAGGAAAGACTTTAAAGACAACGTATGTAAATCTGTTTCCATCACAGAATGTGCTAAAGTTGTGCAGCAAATTGTAATGAGGTATGACGGATGTCAAGAGCTTTGCATAATTAATTAACATGTATACATTTGTCTCATATATAACGTACACTCTATTCCAACAGATGTGATAAAAACACAGAGATTCGAGCTGTCATGTAACTTGGCATGTTAACTTAAGTGTGATGATATGTGGGCAGGTACTGCACTAAACAGGCTTACTGGTTAATCTTCCTTTGAAAGCAGTTATGAAAAGACATCACACTGAACTGATAAAGCAATGTATGTGTGTGTACTAATATAACAAGTTTTTGAAAGAATTAACAAGTTTGCTTTTGTGAAATTTTGTTCCTTCCTTTCTCATAGCATTGCTGCATATTTAGTCTTTTGTTCATATGTTGCTTTTTGGCATTAACACCTACAGGATTAATAAAATAGTAACAGTCTGTCTTTTTAATTTATGTGGAACCAAAATTAATTGGTTAATTGTAATTATAGATAACTCCCCAGACAATATTTTTAATAGCCACTAGACATCAGGAGTTATTTTTCCAAAATTTTAACAATTGCAAAACCTGTTGTTTCTCTGGGGATGGCGTCATAAGGCAAGTCTGCTTGTAGACTTCTAACAAAAACACATCATTGCTGCCATCTTTCGGTCATTCTTTACCTACTTATTATGGAAAACTAGGACAGTTAATGAGGACAGTTAATGAGTTAAGGAGGGGTAATGGTTTTAAACTGAAAGAGGGTAGATTCAGATTAGCTACTAGGAAGAAATTCTTTCCTGTGAGGGTGGTGAGACACCAGAACAGGCTGCCCAGAGAAGCTGTGGATGCCCCATCCCTGGAGGTGTTCAAGGCCAGGCTGGATGGGGCTTTGAGCAACCTGCTCTGGTGGGAGGTGTCTCTGCCACAGCAGGGGATTTTAACTAGATGATTTTCCAACTAGAACCATTCTACGATTCTATGAAAAATGCATTTGAACTCACAAGCACACAGCTTTGTGAGTGTGCAGGGATCTCCCTGCATTAAATGCCATGTACACTGAAGAACATTTTGTGACCTGAAATCCTTTTTCTGTGATATTTAAAGAATTCAGTCATGCATTCCTCAGATGGAATTAATTGTGCTTATGGAAACACACAATTTCCATGAGAGCATTTTAGATTTATTTGCTGTTATTGTAGTTAAAGTATTTATTTGAGGGCCTCATTTTTCAAATATACATTTTTTATCTAGGAGACAGAAAGGTGAAAAACGAACAGACTGGTTCTGTTCTGGAAAAAACCAAAGCACTCTGTTTTATCATCTGAGTGAAAAGAAAAATATCCTTCCAGAGAAATTCTGGAAGCTCAGTTACATGAATGCCTGAAACAGGAATGGTGTGGCATTCTGTCTTCCTGTCTTGGGAATTAGATTTGAATTTTTGGTCCTTGTTATTGACCCAACAATGTGGGTGTTTCCTTCCTTGTTCAGCAAACAGCATTCTAGGAGAAAAACCTGATATCAAAATGAGTCAGTTCAAACTTTGTAGGTGCCAGATATAGTTATAGCTATCCCCAACAAACTGGTTTCGGGAGTGTACTAGTATCCTAAAAAAACACATAGAATTTAACTGTATGGGTGTTTCATGTGACAAGGAAACAGTATCTCTTTATGCGCCACTAAACCCTCACACAGTAAGAAGGAATTTGGTTCCTGTTGATGTGCTGGGTCTTGGTGGAATGGCAGAAGGGCTCATAGTCACCTTCCTCATGTATTACTGACTACAAGGGTACGGTGACCTGCTCTATGCAATAATTAAAGACTGTTACAGGTTTCATAGCATTGCAGTCTAGTATTAGTCTAGTTCTGGTGTCCTGCCTATCATCCTGAAATCTCAGTACAATGAGTCTGACCTATTCATTTCTATTGCTGCTACTAGCTGTCAATTTACCATTTATATATTCATCACAATTTTTTACATGTGTTTGTTATCATAGTACTTGAAATGGAAAAATCATCAAAACTTACTGCACTACTCTGACAACAAAATTAGAAAAAAAAAAAGGCATATTATTGCAATATAACTAGAAGCAAGAAAAGAGTTAGTTTAAATAAAAATCTTTATTAACAATGTAAAACGTTTAGTATCTTAGAATTTGAGATAATTCTGGCATGCCCTATAGGAGTTAGTACTTAGTGATATGCAGACACCATGCTTTGAATTCTATTGGAAACAAAATCGGTTGGTGTTGTGTTTTACATTGTTTATTTTAATACACCTTCTTTTCATAAATTATTTATTTTTTCCAAAAGCTTGTAGAGACACTATAGGCTTAGAAGGAAATCTGTTGCTTCTACGCATTGTACAGTATGTAGATACTATGATTTCTCTGTATTTACAAGTTCTAAGTATTTTCTTATATGGTTTGTGTGCCATAAATTAAGATATTTTTCTATGAAGCTTTTTAATTGAGATATAGTGGAAGACTAAATATGAATGAGAGCACAAAAAGCAACTGGAGGTTTTGTGCAAATTCTGTTACAATATTGTTTAAATGTTTCAGAAGTTTAATACTTTTGCTGTTAAATAGTTTTCTATGCTTAAAGACTGTTAGAATATGATCAAGTATTTTAATATGATACTAATAAGAGTACTGTACTATGCACAAACTTTTAGCTGCAGTTCAAACAATAAAAAAAAACTTAAAAATTATCTATTAACCATAATTCATGTGTCTTTTCTTGGAGTGGCTGAACATAAGCATGCAAAACATACTTTAAAAAGTTTTTAAAACATTCTTAGTTATGTTAGATCTATTCCACAGCTGGTTTTTGACCACCATAACTTCAAACTATTAAAACTCTTATTTTGAAAAGGGGGATGAAGCAGAAGAGAAAAAGGAATAGGCTAGTGTAGAAAATGTACTTTATAATCAAGAGTAGTAATGTTCATCTTTTCAGTGGCCAAATAATAGTGGTTTAATCAAAGTAATGGTTTTCTTGGTGCTTCTGTACTTCATCTTCTAACTTGAGACAAGGCAACACAGTCCAAAGAATCTTCGCTTCCGTCTTCTTACCAATGGATACGGAGTCAAGTTTAGGAGGCTGCTATCATCTGTGATGAAAAAACCCACATTTTAATACAACTATGTACGCATGTACACACACAAAGGAGTTTACTTCATTTATGTGTTCTTACAGCACCTACATGATCAAGTAATAGATCCCGTCGTTCTCTGCATAGAGCAAATAACAACCTGCATTTTGTGTTTAAGAGTCTTACAATGCTAATTATCAGCATCTCCATAATAATGCGATATAAATTTTGGTGAGAAGAATACCAGTTCAATGACAAAGGCTAAAGGAAATTGCACCTCCAGTACTGGGAGACCTAAACCACAATGTTCCTGTATAAATGAATAATGTTAGAGTTCCAAATGAAACATAAAGATAAGTAGCTTGAGATGTTGCAGACATGCAAACTTGGAAATTTTGATCCAAAGCTTAAATTCTGGCCTATTTGAAACATAAAAACCCCTTGTTGTCCATGTCAGGGAGAACTGCCATTTAAAACTGCAACACTGGAACATCTTTCCACATCAAGAGAAAAAGCACTTGTCTGGGAAAGTTAGCACAGTATGTTCACCCTGTTGCTGGTTAGCTTTCTACCTTTTATATTAACTCCTTTTAAATTCATATAAAACGTATATATTAGTGTCCACACTTACGATAACTCATGCACTGTCAGTGAGCTATCTCACAAAAACTTTAGCATTCACTTTGAATTTGAGCTATCTTCAGGCACTGTTTCAGGCTAAGAGCTCTGCCTCATTATGTGCCTATTCTGGTTACATCAGGTACCTAGTTTTGATCGTATGCTCTAGACACTACTGTAACAGAAATACTTAAGAACACAGGTAAGAGATCATTTCATATTGTGAGTCAAGCTTATGAACCATATCAACTAAATTTCTTAGCATAGTAACTTTCCTGTTCTCACTTAAGAAAATTCCACACGAAAAAAAACCAGGTCTGTGAGGAGTCAGCAACATTTTGTACAGCTTTTCTGAGCTTGCAATAGCAAAACACTCAGTCATTTACTGAAAGCAGGATTGGGTCTTGTAAAGATAAACTCATTCAATGGCATTAATTCATCTCATCATCGCTTTCTTAAACAGTACTTGTAATTCATATACATGTCAAAATTACAGTCCAGACCATATTAATTACCTATAATGTTATTTGTTTGTTCTATTTACTTATACTGTTATCTATCTTTAATTAATTAAAGGTCTTGGAATATTTCAAAAATGTTAAGGGCTGTGTGAATAGTGAGCATGACTGTCCATTCCTGAGGCATCCGTTCTGAGAGGTCACCTGTAAGCTATGATCATGGTTGGAGTCTGTGGGAGCTGCAAAAACACCATTTAAGATTACCTGATCCTGGGACATGTCTCAGTGCTTTTAAACTCTAGTTGCTAAGTTTTCTACCCTGCTGCACAGGTGATCAGTGATTTTCTGGCCAGTGTTGAAGGGTAGACTAGACATCAGAGAAGAATTCTGTATGCCCTTATCTCTGTTCTGAATTCAAGTCTTTATATCCCCCAAATTTGTCTTTTTCTTCCTTATTTCTACCATGGTCCTTTCTTCTTGTCTAGGCATGGACTTTATGGCATTTTTCCAATCTCTACAATGGCACATCTGCATCATGTATCATAAGCAGCTCCCTTTCTCCATTCACATAGCTTTCCACCAAGCCATATGGCTATGAACTCTTTACTTGTATAATGAAATCATCCTTTCTGTATTCATTTCTTTCCATATTATGATGAATGTTAGACTGCTTAGTTACTTGGGACAAGATCTAAGACACATTAGGCATAGTCCATCAGCTGCCACTAAGCAAAGACTACACAGCATTTAAGAAATACACATTATCAAGAAAAAAATAAAAAATTATTATCTTTTTAATGTTGTTCACATGAAGAAAGAGAGTGCCTGCGTATGTGGAATATTTAACACTGCTAGGCCACAAAATGAAGGCCCACTGCATAGGATCCTGTGCCCCTGCATTTGTATAAGGTGCCTTATAGCTGGCTACTGGGAAAAGCAGGTTGCTAACAGATTCGAGGCAAGTATCTTTTCTACACAGGGTCAATGTCATGTCACAGAAGCTACAAGCCTTGTAGGGGTAAAGCAAACCCCACCAGTCAGTAGGATCCCTGTCATAGGGATCTGTGCAATTTACACCTTCACTACCTTTGAAAAAGAAAGCCTCCTGACACAGGGAATTAGTTGTGTTGCTGCCACCAAGTCACCAGAAAAAGTCTTTTATTTTATCTAGAGATACTGTAACTAAAATTCCAGAATATTTCATGGGAAACTCGAGGGTCCAAAGTTCACATACTGAATTCTGGTTCCACTCAATCAGTAGGGAAAAGACTTCACCTAGATTTTTCTTTTTGCAACTTCTATTAAAAACCCCTAGATTTCTTTGGATGTGATGGAAGGCAAACCCTTTAATTGTCTTCATTTTCCTTACATGAAGAAAATACAAAACCTACCTTGATTTTTCAGTGGTAAAGGCATAGTCTCCCTGAGTTTACTTAAAAGGTTTTTCATTTCTCTCATATCTCTGTGGAAACAAAAATGAAAAGAGGTACAATAGAACAGCAGTTGAAGACTTAATGGGGAATGGTTCACAGTATAGCTTTATATGCTGAAATAATGGAGCAACAAATATCAAAACCTATTGGGCAAGTATTTGGTTCACACACATGTATCAGAAGATGCATACCAAAATGAAGAGCAGTAGATTTAATAAGGGAGCACTTTTAAGGCAGTCTGACATTAACTATTCATATCTGGTGCAAATTTATGATCTATTCTGGCATTTGAGTATTCCATATTAAATGAGTTGGTGGGCACAACATGATCCTAGTGGGAAAATACACAATATGGCTAGTACACAAGCTAGTACTAATACCAACTTAATACCCCTTATCAGCAGTTTGTAGCTTGTGCCATGAATGGTTTATTGCTTAGAAGGAAATTACAATGCATGTAAGTAATCCATGACACTTAAGCTCTCTGCAAATTAAGTGAAAATTTTAGAAAAGTGGTTTTCTCTCTCACTCATGAGGACTCTGCCAGGAAATTTTCTAAAAGGCAGAAGATGAAAAATATGATAACAAAATATCATCTCATAAAGCAAGTTACATTTGGATATGTCTTGAGAGAAGTAAGAAGTTGCAAAAAGTTTCATGTTTTACAGATAGATGGCAGACTGGCAATTTTGTGTGCAGGCTTGTAATGTTTTAAGGCTTTCAGGATTTACAAACAATGTGGTCTTGCCTCATATCATCTACATATAAAATAGGCCTTAGAAATGAAGCAGTATGACTAATAAGAAATTGCTTAGTTTTATTCTCCAAGTTACTCTCGAGAACCTCATTTAATATAAATAAGCACAGTAACCTTTAAAATCTCAGCAGCAGCTTAATATACAATGCCATCAAAATAGGTAAGAAATGTTGGCCATAAGGATTACTCCCTACTAAAGGATCTCATTTTTTGTCTTTCAACTGCATAGTTAAAGGGGTAAGAGAAGTCCACTTCGAGAAACCTGTGGATGATGTTCCCCTCTCCTTCTAAGGCTTCCACACAAATAACTATGGGCAGAAACAACTGACATGAACTAGATTCTGTGCTTTCCATTTATGAATGCAGAACCACAGGTCAGCAGATTTCAGGTACAAAATCAGAAACCTCTCAAGGTGAGACAAAAGTCGCCTCTTTTAGAGAACCTTTTAGAGAAATAGCAACATCATTTCCCACTCTTTGTTTTTTGACAGTTACTGTCTGGTAATTAGCCCAATTAAGGATGTCACTTTTCTCTGCCCTTCTTTTAGGACTTGCTCTCAGATATGTTAAATGTAACAGAAATGTTAACAGGTTATTTAATTTACTAGTACCTTTAAGAGCAACACCAGCTGCCTGTTTAGAAAAGACTAAATACACCTAAGTTAGAAATTTGTTTTGTTTAGGAATGAAGTGCCACACATACCTTTCAGTGTTATCAATATCTGTGGAAACCTGCCATAAGTGCTGCTGAATATCTGTTGGTGATGATGACGTGTCTTCTAAAATAGGTACTTCGGAACTCTCCTCCACTTTAGTATTTAGGATCTTGGCTGGGGCACAAGGCTCTTTTCCTTTAAGATATTTAAACAAAAAATATATATCCCCTTTATTAATTAAAATACACACTCAGATTATAACATTGATGTTTCGAAGTTGATAAGTGAAGAGAGACTGCAGAACACAAGCTGAGTAAGAACTGTTCAGAAAGAGAGTGCAGACCCCACCAGTCTGCTGATGGGAGTGCTGCTACATGTTACTCTACCCAACAAAACCAAGAGAAGTCCCATGCAGGCACGTGTGGAGAATTCAACATAGTAAGTATTATGCAGGGTTTCAGTTAAAACTCCAGTGGCTCATATGTGACACAACATAAGAGCCAGAAAACAAAACAGAACAAAATAGGTAAGAAAACAACAGCATACATTCTGAAAGCAACTTCAAAAACTGTGACACCAAAGAACTTTGCAATCCATGTCTCCTAGTATTACAGCAATACTAAAGGAAAACAAAAGACAAAAATGCGAAGCTTTGTACTTGGTGATTTTAAAACCAATATATGGCTGCCACCACTCACAGCCCAATATGCATTATATTCTGAATTTTCCTAATTCATGCTCACTATATGAAAATACAGTGTTGGAATCTAATGGGGTTTTCATGACAGATCTGCCAGGCCTTTTGTCAGGGAGAGAATAGGATAAAGGATGTGGACCACGATAGTGGAGCATGCAAAATAGTTAACTGCTGGTGGAATTTTTTTTTAATCTTTGTAAATCTCCTGTGGACTGTCTGATGGTACTCCTTTTCTGCAGTGGCAAGTACAGTCCTGGCACCAAGTACATTTAAATGAGAAAAATAAAACTGGAGTGCATGCCAGACACATTATTGAGAAAAGTTTTTCCTCCTGAAAATGGACTCATGAAATGGAGTAAACGATCTCAGAAAGAAACAAAGAAAACTTTCTAAAAACAGAGAAAAAATGTCAATGTTTAAACCAGTGATATGAGGAGCTGAGTAGGAAATATTTCTTTATCTCATTTTTTTGCAATTTGAAAGGTTTGACAAAGAACAGGAAGAACAAGAACAGGTAACAGAGTAGTGGTCATTCAGCCCATTTTTCTGGGACATTAGAGACATAAAGTTGAGATCATGCTGTATTGCTCTTCTACACCACAAATATCCCTGCTACCAGACTTGTAACCTTTTTTTTTAAAAAAAACAAAACAAAACACAAGCAACAACCAACCTAGAAATTCCTGGATCTTAAGAAGCTCTTTTTGGGCAGGTTCTCTAAACTGCTGCATTCTGGTAAAATGTTCCTTTGCTGAAAAAAAACAATATTCTTAGCTACTTGTCTGAATGTCAAACTAGACATTACTAATACTACAGAAGATGCTTGCTTAATGTTCTCATTACTCTCTAAAGTCAGTAGAAGCACTTTTCACTGCTCTCCCCCCGCCCCCCCCAAGTCATTCAAGTATGATTCCAAGACACTGCATTACCTGACATTACAACTTTACTATCTAGAAAAGAATAATGTCTCGTATCCATTCTTTGCTGCTTACTTTGGCATCCACTGCTAACTTATGCTTTGCCAGATCCTTCTGGGAGCCACTTTAACCTATCAAATGGTAGAAGATTAGCCCAATACAAGGAAAAATAAAATGTGAAGTTTTCTAATGTTGCTGTTATTTAAGTGAAGAATCCTACATGTTCCAGAGCAAGTGCCAGAGGCGGATGATCATACGGCCAGGAGCAGTGGAAAGGAAGAAGAATTGAAGGTATGATGAGGGAGGGGAAAGGATCAAGACCTTTCTGGTGGTAACAAGCTATTATGCTGACTCAATTGCTTGTGGAACAGCAGCCTATGCCCAGATTATACGTTTTACTGTGTATCACCCTGTAGGTGGTAACTTTCAGCCTTTTCTAGTTCTTAGCTGCAGCTTATGCTATTATTTTGACATACTTCATCTTGTACAATTTTGATCTGTGTAAGCTTCATTATTCCAGTTGGTGGCTGCTCACAAGTGGTGTTCCCAACGGCTCAGTATCGGGGTTGCTTCCGTTTGATAATTTTATCAACAACCAGGACAAGCGGATTGAATGCACCCTCAGTAAATTTGTAGACGAAACCAAGCTGGGTGAGAGTGTGGATCCGTTTGAGGGTATAAAAGCTCTACAGAAGGGTCTGGACAGGCTGGATTGATGGGCTGAGGCCAATGGGATGAGGTTCAACAAGGCCAAGTGCCGGGTCCTGCCCTTGGGTCACAACAACCCCAGGCAGCGCTACAGGCTGGGGGAAGAGTGGCTGGAGAGCTGCCGGGCAGAACAGGACCTGGGGGTTATGTTGGCCTTCTTGGCCACCAGGGCACACTGTCGGCTGAGCCAGCAGTGTGCCCAGGTGGTCAAGAAGGCCAACAGCATCCTGGCCTGCATCAGAAATAGTGTGGCCAGCCGGATTAAGGAAGTGATCATCGCCCTGTACTTACATTGAGGTGCTGGAATGTGTCCAGAGGAAGGCAACAAACCTGGTGAGGGCTCTGGAGAACAAGTCTTATGAGGAACAGCTGAGGGAGCTGGTGTTGTTTAGTCTTGAGAAAAGGAGGCTGAGGGGAGACCTTATTACTGTCTACAACTACCTGAAAGGAGGTTGTAGTGAGGTGGGGGTTGGTCTCTTTTCCCAAGTGACAAGCAATAGGACAAGAGGAAAAGGCCTCAATTTGTACCAGGGGAGGTTTAGGATGGGTACTAGGAAAAATTTCTTCATAGAAAGAAACATTGGAACAGACTGCCCAGGGAAGTGGTTGAATCACCATCCATGGAGGTATTTAAAAGATGGGTAGACGTGGTGCTTAGGGCCATGGTTTAGTAGTGGTTTTGTCAGTGTTAAGTTAATGGTTGGACTTGATGATCTTAAAGATCCCTTCCAACCTAGACAATTCTATGATTGATTATTTTTCACATTATAAGAAGCCCATAACAGAACATACTGTTACCAATATCTCACCACTTTGTAAAAGAGGGTTGCTCCAGGGAAACCATCTAATTTGCCACTGATATCACAAGGTGTTACTGCTGTAACTGGGTATTAGTTAATTTTCCCATCACGTTGAACCGTTATGTTGGAACTCTGACCTGACCTTTGGTGACAAGCTGTCAAGAAAAACTCTGTCTATAGATGCATCCTTCAGGGATGTGAGAGGTGCCTCAATGGAAACAATAACAATGCTAGATGAAATAACAGAAAAGGTTCCCTTTCGCAACTTGAGAACAGAAGCACCAAGACTGTAATGTTCTTTTTGTTAGCACAAAGGCAAGCTCTTGCAGATTTAGCTGAATGAACAGCACAGACTTCTTTTGAACTGAAAAAAGCTCTTTACCAGTAATTCTGTTGTATTGTGAACAATTCATGAAGACTTTCTTAAATTTCAGAGCATCTGCTCAATCACTTGAAAACAGTTAAAGAGTCAGCTAATGATAAAGGCTTTTCTTGAATAATGTATATGACTCAGGCTTAACATTTCTACTACATAGCATAGCCTGTAGAGAAACAAAAGCTCTTTAATCTTCTCATCCTTCTACTGGCAGAAAGGATATCTTTTGTATTACACATTCTTAAAATAAGGATATAAACCTAAATTTTACTTTCAATTTAGTCAGTGGAAAGATCTTACTAATTTAGTTGGGGTTCGATCGTGCACACAATGTTTTCAGAGGTGTCAACATACACTTGCTGTTCTTGCCAGTTGAGTAGACAGAAGCTCTTTTTACTGTGGATTTTGATATAAAACATGATGTATTTTTTGTCTTCTAGTTTCTAATTCAGCTTTTTTTTTTTTACTTTAAGAAGCAGAAAATGTCTTTGGTATGAAATTAAATTAACTGAATTAAATAATGCTGAAGATCAAACTTGAGTGAGGATAATCAGAAGGTAGAAAATTATCAGTTCAGTGGGCTACATAAAACATCTGTCATCACTGTGCTTTATGTGTCTCACCTGTTGTGCTCCTTACTGATTCAGTGGTGACCTCTGTGTTTGCCTCTGGCATGCTACCCTATGGACCTGCCCTTAGTCATCACCAGCTTCCCAAAGAAACTCACATAATTAAAAACACATCTGTTAAAGGTCCCTCAGAGCTAGTTAGATTTCACTGCAGATGATTTGGAAAGATCTTTGAGGGGAACAACAGAATTTAACAAAGCTGAGAAAATGCCTCTCTCAAAAAAGAAGAATCATTTGTATCAGGCTTCTAGCCTAGCAATTAAGGATAAATGCACATGCCACAGATCATAGCTAAAGTGAATGAAAAGGAGAGCACAAAAAGGGGAATAGGAAAGAATCATGCAGGAAGTAGAAAAGTGGCAAATACACCTAACAGCCTAACAAACTTCATTCCTGATTTACACTTGGGACCTGCAGAGCTCATGAGATTGTCTCACCAGAAATATTACTATTAGGGAAAATGCAATAGGAACAACAAGCCTGTAGAAGTTGTGTTTTCCTCCTACTATGCGTATTTCTATTCTATTCATTTTGGCATGTTCACAGTATCCACATGACAATGGGTGATTCTCTGGATTTTTTAAGTGCTTGCTTCTCCACACCTATGTACTTCTCTTCTCTCTCACATCTTATCCCTCTTGTGTAAATAATATGTCTAAGTAATTACACAAATTTACCAATCTTTAAATAGAATGCTGAGATTGGAGCAGATCTGTTAAACAATCCTTCCTTTCTCCTTCAAAACTCTAAGTAGCATGTATTTTAAACAAAGCCAAATAAAACAAAAATCCCTTTCCCTTTTCTGAATTGAGGGTTTATTTTTGTAATCTGTAATATAAGCTATCACAAGCTTTTAGGTACTATTTTAAGGAAATACATGTTGTTATCACAAAACACACACTGGAAGAACAACAATTATGCTATGAACTTCTATGGTACATGACACACAGTTACCTATGATTTGGTATCATTCTCATGTACCGACAATGCAGGAATGAGTTCCGTCTGAACTTCCATCCTAAAAGCCTAATGTCTTCTGACTACAGTATCCACACATGATTTTCCCATATGACTTAATTCTTCCCTTTTTTACCATTTCATACAAGAAACTCTAAGATTCCAGGAATCTAATGTACCCTGGACTCATTTTTTTCACACAGATAATCAAATTCTACCAAAATGACTAGAGGTATGTGCAAATAACTGACAGTAGGTATTACCTCTCAGTCTGTGTACGCTTCTTTTTGAATAAGTTACACACAAAATAATAGGTTGTACTGCCTTGGCCTCTGGACTCATAAGAATAATATATTCTTATATCTACATAGAAGCAACAACTTACTTTGTTCAAACTCAGCATAAATGACTGTACAAAGCCTGTACTTCTTCGACAAGGTAGCTTTAACTACTTTTACAGCATGTTTTGAACTCTGGAAAACACCTCCAGTTCATTTAAACTGTCTCCTCTTGCCTTTTTATTTTTTACACGGGCCTACTCCTATAATTATTAAAATGAGTTCCTTGAGCAAATACTGTATAGCTAGTTAGTAAAATGACTGCAATCTGAAATTTAGAATTTTAAAACACATTTTCTAATATATGTAATTATATAACCAAAAAAGCCATTTATATCTGTAGATGATCCTAAGAAATTAATGGTTTCTATGTAAACATGTATAGACATTAAACTTTGGTAATGTGTGCTTCCACAGTGACATGCTATAATGATCCAATGATAGTAATAATATTTAAAGTTCCCTACAATGAAAGGAATATATTATTATTTTGGATATATGAAGCAGCAAAGCTTTTTCATCTCTTATGTTTACACATTTGGTCACATATTAAAAATGCAAAGTTCTTCATAATGTATCAGTGAAAACCTTTGATCCCAAAATATTTGTGGCTGAACTACAGCAGCGCATGCTGAAGAGTACTTAAGAACTCAAAAGTTTTTCTTTGTTTTCTCAGTGTGGGACCCTTGACAACCTCAGTATTAATTCGGAAAAAAAGGCAATCACATCCAGCAGCTTCCCTGGACAGAAATTCTGTCAACTAGTTCTTCTAGGACCTTGCTAGGTGTGCCAGGATTTGCTTATTTCATCAAAAGCATGCAAAACCAAGGTTAGGAGAGAAGCTGCAGTTTCTAGGTAAGTGAACTCATCTGTTGCTTGACAAAGTCTGAGAAAGATGACTCTATCCAGAGAAGTTCTGCCAGAGTGTGATAATGATGCAGAAGGAAACGAAGTGAACAAGTGCAGTGAGAAGTCTCAGAAGATTTCCTGGAGGAGCTGGAGCATAAGCTGCCATGTGTCATATCTGCCCCAATAAGTATTTGCTGTAGTCACCCCCAACAGGTATTTGCTATGGCAAAAGGGACAGTCAGATCCTTACATCCATCGTGTTAGAGACTGCAGGAAGACATCAGAGAGTTTCTCACAGTGCTGCCCTGAAAACTGGATTCTATACCTACCCAAAGTTTTCATGTGATCCTATCCAAGTTGCTTAAACCCAGTCCTCAAAATAGTTATTGATGAAGTATTTCTAATTGTCTGGCTGCTCAACCCAGAGCCTCTTTGCACTCAGCTGCAAATGAAGCTACTGAAAAATTACTCTATAAACACACACAGTGCTGCAATCTCAGATTCTAAATTAGGAATCTTTAGCTTAATCTCTCTTTGTTCTTTTTTTTCAATGGGAAAAATTGCTACTCCCTCACTACTCAACGCAGTTCTGAAGATGCCCCCACCATTGTATGAGTTACTGAGAACTATCTGAGGAACAGACAGATTCTGCCTTTACAACAGAATTGTGTGCAATAAATACAACATATGAAAACGAACAATTAGGATAAATGAAAGACGTATGCCCAAGTAAATATTTATATGTGTATTAGTCAGCCAGGAATCTTGGGATTGTGAAAAGGAGGAGTAATAAAATATATAGTCAGGTAACCAAACACCTAGTAACTACAAAGAGGTTGAATTATAGCTACCTGGACACAGGTTCAGTGTGTCCAAACTTTTTGAATGTTGAACTTTGCAATCATAATGTATTTTCAACACTGAGCTTTTGTGGTGTATGTATCTTAGAAAAAAATAATTTCACTTACTGCATAACACAGCTGGAAATATTTATGGCTTTTAGTCCCACTGAGACTTTACATGTCAAAGAAATAACAGACTACCTGACTTTTCTAGCAGAGGTTGTACGACAGCAGTAAGTTAATCTAAAGCACTGTAAATATGTAAGAAATTTCTGTACAGAAAGCTTGATATATAATATACAATATATAAGAATGTTTGTTCAACGGAACAGAAAGATTAGGAAAGACAGAAGATCAGTGCTGTGAAAGACAGTGAAGATACCCAGAGCTCAGCCCCTCAGATTGTAGTGTGGTGCTTCATTAAAAGCCATGTTTCCCAGATCACTGGCTGAGCTTCTCTCAGGAAAAGAGCATCAGCGTGTCTTATCTTTATCAGTTCTATAGTTGGTTGATAATGTCCAGTACTCACATTATTATGTATTGGCTGCAAGTTGCCGAGAACAGCCTGCATGTCCTTCTACTTGAATCTCTGCTGGCTCCCAAGTAAGAACATAAATTGCTGAAATCTCATGGGAGATTTAAATACCTAACAAACCACTTAACCAACAGGTAAGAGGACTACAAAATGGAAAACATTACATCCAAATAGAAAATACTACCTTCAAAAATGAGCTTCAAGACACACATCACACATGCTCATTTGTGACTTAAGTAATGTTTCTACAGTTAATACTCTTCGTACACAAGGAAAGTAATTTCTTTTTCTATGGTCACTCAGATGGAAAAAAACAGATGAAAAAACAAGTGAAAAAGTAAAAAAGCTATATACAGGCAACAGCACAATATATTTTATAATGGTGAAATCACCAGCTCTTTCATTCCTAGAGATAAATTTATGCACTTTGCCTACACTGCAGTACCATTCTCCATAAGTAAAGAAATTAAAGAAAGGTAAGTGTTCATTCTTCTTCTTGGAAAATAGTATATTTTCCAGAACACAGAATAAATAGGTTGCAAGGTAATCTAGTTTAACAGCCTACTGAAAGCAGGGCCAACTTGCATCAGATTGCTCAGGGCTATTCAAGTTATTAGTGTCTCCAAGAATGGAGAATTCACAGCCTCTTTGGGTGTCCGTTCTAGTACATGACTACCTTTACTGTGAAAAAATACTTAACGCGTAATCGGAATTTCCCTTGTTGCATGATGCCTTTACAATACTTCTAGGTGTTGTAAATACCAAGTATTTAATATACAAGAGCAGTGTTCTGTTGGCTAAGTTCCAAAATTCAAATCCCTGTGACTACATAATTTTTGCCTATTATGATTTTTTCTCAAAGAATATCACAAACACTTGGAGCCAAGTTACTGTGGTTATCTCTACATGGTTACAGAACAAAATTACTCTATTTAGCAATGGCAGAATAGCTACCATGACTTTCTCTATGATGAGAGGAAGAACCAAGTTAAATCAAAAGTACTGCCAGATAGGACCTAAGCTGGCCCATAACATAATGCTGTAATTAATTTTGTCCAACTTTAGACTTTAGATTCTCATAGTTTGATGTTTAGTTTAAGTTATTAATGTAGATTCCATCCAGAGGCAAAAGGGAGAGACAAGTCAGATCAGGGTTATTCAATTCACCTCAAGCTACTTTCTTTCTGCAATTACAGAAGGTGGTTTGACAACTGTAGCCAGTGCTAGGAAACATAGTACAATCTATGATGATTCATTTCAGCAGCTACTGGCATCTTGTTACAGAATCGCTCTGTTAATTCTGCCTCTTCCTATTTTATAGATTTCTTTTTGACTTGAGAAAAATCACTGAGAAACTCAACTGAGCAGTTACAAACCTCTAATTCTTATTTTAATAACAAAAACATCACTGGCTTTAGTTGTATCCTATTGCTAGATATGAAAAATACATTATGGGATCTTTCAGCATGACAGGAAATACATAAGGTTCATTACAAGACTTTCATTACAGTTCATTACAGAACTTTGTCTTGTCTTTACCTAGTATATTCTGCCAAGATTTTAGCTGGGGAGAGAGTAGTTAAAATTAGCAGAGATACAGTCTCAATCAGTGTGTGCTATCATTGAGTAATGAGGTTACTAAGTAACCTATTCAGTGAATTATCTGCATTTCCACATCTTCCTTTCAGTAGGTGGCTAATCAAATATGAAATCATTAGAGAGATACATTTTCACTGAAGCAAGGACATCTCCTTTTTGTGTAAAAATATCCTATGAGGTAGATTTCAGTTCTGAATCTAGTATCTAGTTTTATAGAGGTAAGCAGCTTTTTAACCATATTTGTCTGTCTTTTGCTATAAGCTGGTGTTGTTGGATAAATAAAACAGGCATAGTAAGGGATGTGCTTAGTACTAAACCCATGCCATATTGCTCCACCAAACACTTGCCCTCAAATATCATACCCAACAAATACCTGTAATAAAATGACTAAGATAGTTTGCTCACTGATCTGACTAATGACCACAAAAAATTTTGGGATGGCTCTTCAAAAAATAAAATAAAATCAGACTTCTAAACTACAAGGCCATTAGAGATACATGTCTGATATGACAATTCTGTTAAATGATGATAATGAAACAGAAACACAGCCTTTTTTTTCAGTAGCTGAAAAGCTTCAGTGGTAGAGTTCAGTTAACAGTTTGGTGCTTTGTCTTTCATGAACACGCGTACATGCCCCCAAAGGCTGTTCTTTCTTTTAAATCAGCATCTGTATATTTATGCAATTCAATACCTTTCCGATGAAACTGCAGTGATCCTAGAAGACACATGGACTTAAGCATTTCTGTGGTGTACATTTCTAAGCAACACTGCAACTGGATGTACAGCCTACAGATTTCAGGATGAATTTCACCATCTTCTGGGCTGCAGTAAAAGAGAAAAATTTAGTTAGGGATGGAGTGGAAGGACATGAGGGTCATCAAATCCACTTTCCTACTGTTGAAAGCAACCATATCATAATCTGCTTAATATGCTATTAAGATAAAAAGATATTCAGATAAAAAACCTATTTCTACCAAACTGTATTTACAAGAAATTCTTTAGCTCTGCAAAGCTCTAGGATCAAAACATCTAAACTTGGGTTGACTTTGGTAAGATTGAATGTCCTTAATTTCTTCTCCGAATATTTTTGGAAAAGGTGTGAATGTGTGACTGAGATCTCTTCTCCTCTTTAAAATCTTTGGACACGTATTTTATGGTAGATTGCAGGGTTCTTTTTTCATCCAGCTCCAGTTACCCTTGGTCCTGCTGCAGACGCAGGAGACTGCAGGGCCACTTTCACAGTTACTTTTCAGGTTACAAATCCTGGGTCAGGCATAATCAACCCTACTTTGAAGACACTCATCAGAAACAAGTCAGTTGTGTCTTTTGGTTCTACAGTTTTGCCTGAATTTCTCCCCGCCCCCTCCCCCCCATCTTTAAATTAGTATTCATGTGACACTGCACTGTGAGGAGAATGGGATGTTCAAGAATTTTCTTCAGAAAAGTAATAATAATATCGAAAACAAATCTTGAAAACAAAAACTGAAATCAAGAGTAATCCTACACCTCCAATTACTTGCTTAGAAAATTAATTGCTAAGAAAATAATTTACACATATACAGGAACCAATTCTCATGCCTGGCTGCAAAAGTAGGACACTGAACCTCACATCTACTTTCTTACTTTTACAGTGAAGTCTGTGTTTGCTGAAAAATTATACCATGCACTGTATGGTATTTCCTGCATCTTAATCATAAGGACAGAATAAAGCTATGGTGACAGAACAAAAATGGTTCACCCCCATTACTCTGAAGATGCCTTTTCAGATGCTTCCTATAATATTTCTTCCTATTCTCAGTGATTCCAAGCTGGAAAACATTTGATAGCCTTAAGACCCTGAATAATTTTCGTGAAAAATTAATAACTTGACAGTTTTGGGGTTTATTTTTACAGAGTCCTTAACTGCATGTGAAAACACGTATTTATTAGAAATGAATCTGTGTTGAAATCTCACATTCTTTCAAAGGATGGGAAGATAAATTTTTTAATGACTTCATAAGCAGTATTATAACAAAATAAAGAATGCTAGTTCTGAAATGCTGAAAATTATGCTTAGAAGACACACAGCATTACAACACACATATATGCACACAAAATTACTTTGGGGTAAAATGAATTTGATTTTTTAAAAACTGTACTTAATTGCAGACTCCTCAGACACTTAGAAGTTCTAATTTGTATATTACAATATTTTCTATGTTTTAACCTTGCATTAAGTATCTAGTGCTTTTTATCTTGCATTAATCCATAGCATCTAGTCCTGGTTTAACAAGAGTTAAATCTTAACATTCTCTGCAGTTGTGTTTGCTGTTTCTTTCATTTTTAACCAATCTATTTGTTACATGAATTGCAGCTGTTAGATCTGTGATCACTTAGCTGATTAGGAATGGACTGTTCTCTCTGCATAAACAATCACCATAAATTTAACAGCATTTCTTTTCAAATTGGCAGATGGCAAGAAGGGTTTTTAATGTAATCATATTGGTATTAACCAAGGAAGATAAAACACATATAGCCCAGATAGAAATATAATTTGTTTTAATATAATTCAGGAGCAGTTCTTCAGAAGCAGACTGTTATTTCTAAATCACATCAGCATTTTAAAGACCAGCATCTAGTCCTTCATTTTACACGTACGGCTAATGATTCCAACATTTTCTGTAAAAGAGTTACTACAAAATTGGATGAATCTTAGAGAAGAACAGGATTCTGACGTTTGATGTAAGAGATAGTCTCTGGAGCAAATGTAACCTTACAGAATTGATCGAACCAAATTCAGCATGAACAAGCAACTAGCAAACGTACAGCGCACCACATTTTCTTCCTCTGGAATAGTATTTTTAACTTTCTGAACTTTGGATCGTATATAATTTGTTTTATTTCTCTGATTGCTAAATTTAAGAACCATGACATGCATATTTAGGTAGTACATGGCCTCTTGAAGGCTTTTACTACCTTGATTTGTCCTACATTTTAGCTTATAGATGCGATCTTTCATAACCCTTAGTGTCACATATCCTTACATGTGCATTGAACACTCTTCCCAAGTTGAGCACCATGGAATCACTGCAGTAGATGAAGATACGGCGCCCCCCCATCCCATCATCTGCATCATTTCTCCATGGACACACATACAGGAATTTCCTTTGAGCTGTCCTTACCAACAGAATGATTACAAAAATATTTGGGAGTGTAGAATTCCATTTACTTTCCATAATTAGCACCCAGGTCCAACATCTAGCTCTTCAAAATTATTGCTTCTTTCATGTAATACCCAAGGCCTGGAGCCCCAACAATATACACACAAACACATTCAGTCTCTGCTTGAGTATCCTAGATGCCTAAACTTTTCTTTCTGAGCAGGTTTTCCTCGTCCTGATGATGAACAGTTACACAACTAATAGTGGATAAATGAGTCATTAATTTGTCTATTCCACCTGCAGGGCGCTGCCCCACAAACATTCACGTGCAAAGTGGAACCTGCAAAAAACACAGCCACCACAGATGGTAAGGATGACCTTTTTCTGCTCAGTGATGACAGCTCTTCCTGGTAGGGAGATACAGATCTACTCCACTCTCTTATGCAAATAATGCTGAATCTGTCTAGTTCTTCTGAAAGCTAGGAGCATGGAAACTTACATCAGGATAAGACAATTTCCATCTACTAGATTTAGGCAAAACTGGATTACGGTTGACCTATTTTTCTCTGCAATGTTTCAAATGTTAGAAATCCTTAGATTTTTCAGAAGCCATGGCCAACATAGGAACTTTATTTACGATCTTGAATGTATTGATTTCTTCACTTACACCTGTCACAGGCAAAAAGATTAAGGGCCTGCACATGGGTATAAGAAAACAGTATTTTCCTTATACAACTATTTAATTTCTAAGAAGTAAAAATGGTGAAAGCCTTTCTTTAAAACTTTTTTGGTCTTACTGACAGATTTTTTAATTGTGCAGGGTAAGAAAGCAGCAATTACATATAAGATTGTTGGCTCATAAGCCAATTTGAATTTATCAGTGTCTTCTTATTCACAAATGAGCTGGAAGAGTGACTGGAAAGCACAGTAATAGGTATTTTAATTTACTTTTTTGCCATTGTAAATCAAATATATTTTTCTTGTAAACTGTATTTATGAATAGCAAAAGAATAAAAACTAGAAACATCTATGATATATGCATGTTCTGACCCATTCCTGTTTTTTCAAAAATATGGAGCATCTGTAATTAGACTGCGAGCAAAATTCTTCTCTAACTTGCAAATCCAGAGTGACAGCAGTGACATCCAAGAAAAATACTTTTAATTATCCAAAGTTTATACAATGGGAATTATTTCCAGGCCACTACCCCCGCTGATTGTCTCAAACTGTTTAATTAGTGTTTAGTTGCAATAATGACCACAAGAATCCCATTAGCTTGCAACCAAACGATTTTCTCTGATGCACGTATATAGGCCTCATTTTCACTGAATTTCACTGAATTTCACTGAATTTCACTGAATTTCTAGAGTTGGAAGGGACCATAGAGATCATCTAGTCCAACTCCCCTGCTGAAGCAGGATTGCCTAGAGCTTGTCAGAGCATGTTACTCAGGACTGCATCCAGGCGGGTCTTGAAAATCTCCAGAGAAGGGGACTCCACAACCTCCCTGGGCAGCCTGTTCCAGGGTTCCGTCACCCTCACCGTGAAGAAGTTTCTCCTCATATTTGAGTGGAACCTCTTATGTTCCAACTTGTGCCCATTGCCCCTCGTCCTCTCACTGGGAACCACTGAAAAGAGTCTGGCTCCCTCCTCCTTCAACCCTCCCTTGAGATACTTGTAGGCGTTGATAAGGTCTCCCCTCAGCCTTCTCTTCTCCAGACTAAAGAGTCCCAGCTCTCTCAGTCTCTCCTCATAAGGGAGATGCTCCAATCCTTGAATCATCTTTGTAGCCCTACGCTGGACTCTTTCTAGTAGTTCCCTGTCCCTCTTGAACTGGGGAGCCCAGAACTGGACACAGTACTCCAGTTGTGGCCTCACCAGTGCAGAGTAGAGGGGGAGAATGACTTCCCTTGACCTGCTGGCTACACTCTTCCCTATACAACCCAAGATACCATTGGCCTTCCTGGCCGCAAGAGCACACTGTTTACTCATTGTCATTTTACTGTCCACCAGGACCCCTAGATCTTTCTCTTCAGTAGTTGCCTCTAGCGGGTCCACCCCTAACCTATACTGGTACCTGACATTTTTCTTCCCCAGGTGCAGGACCCTACACTTTTCCCTGTTGAACCTCATGAGGTTCTTCTTTGCCCAGCCCTCCAGCCTGTCCAAGTCTCGCTGGATGGCAGCACAGCCCTCCGGGGTGTCAGCCACTCCTCCCAGTTTGGTATCATCAGCAAACTTGCTGAGGATACACTCTGTCCCCTCGTCCAGGTCACTGATGAATATATTAAACAGCACGGGTCCAAGTATTGACCCCTGGGGGACTCCACTGGTTACAGGCTTCCAACTTGAACCTGCTCCATTAATAATTACCCTTTGGGTCCTGTCACACAGCCAGTTCTCAATCCACCTCACTGTCCCCTCATCCAGCCCATACTGCCTCAGTTTCCCAATGAGGATGTTATGGGAGACAGTGTCAAAAGCCTTGCTGAAGTCAAGGTAGATGACATCTGCTGCCCTCCCCTCATCCAACCAACCGGTCATGGCATCATAGAAGGCTATCAGATTGGTCGTACATGATTTACCCTCTGAAATCTCTGAAAGCCACATGGTCTGATGCCAATGTACACAATGATTTCTTTTATAATCCCTGAAGTACCTTCTGCATAGTGGGCTTAAAAT